GAAATTTCCAGCACTTTGACATAGAATACAAAATATCTCGTAAAATATTCATCTTTCGGTTATCTTGTCTTAATGCTTTTTTGCGCAGAATAATGAGACAAATTAATTAGCTTAAAAAAAAAAAAAAAAAATTTTTTTAAATAAATAAAAAAATATATATATATGTATGAACTTACTCATTGTGCATCCTCTCCATTATGCTTTGTAGGTCTGCATTGACATTGGTACCTCCAATTTCTGCTGTATAATGGATCAGTTGTAGCTCATTCTGTGCGTATGGTTGCGACTGGGTGTGTGTTTGGGAATGTATATGTGGCTGCGAGTCTACATGTTCTTGTAAATATGTATGTGGCAATGAGTCCATGTGTTGTTGTGAAGGCATGTTTGGTTGTGAGTATGTACGTGACTGTGATCGCATCAGTAGCTGTGATGGCATCAGTGGCTGTGACTGCGTGTGCGGCTGTAAGAGAGTGTGTGGCTGTGACTGCATGTGTGGCTGTGAGTGCGTTTGTGGCTGCATGTGTGACTGTGAGTGCATTTGTGGGTATGATATAACGGAATTGTGGATATCACACTCTTTGTCTTCTAAAATTCTTCTGATTTCCTCTGCATCATCTTCGATGTCAACTTGGGCTCTTTGTACAACTTTTTTCTGCGGAGTTTCATCTGAATTTGTAGTTTGGTACCGCTGTGGTTTGGCAACATAACGTTTTGGCCGATCCATCACTGTAAGTACAAGAACATATCAAACATATGAAAGTACATAATTTATACTATGGATGTACTGTACAATAGTACAATTTTAATAAATATATTATTATTGAAAAGTCACTTCACATACTGTACCAACTGTCTTATTCTCAATGTTTACGTATTTCTCACTGTATAATGCACATAACTTTGCATAAAATCATTTAAATTATTTCTGAGAACGTTTCATAATTTTGAGACGAAGGTAAAAAAGTAATTACATGCATAACATTGGTGTAACTGAATGTAGCGATTCCAGGAATTAGCAAAATATATAATGTAATACTATATTGATCCATACTTACGTATTTAGTGAGTCTTCCGTGTGGATAAATAAATATTCCTTTATTGCGGCTTATTATTGCACGTTAATAAAGATCGCATTGGAACGAAACGAAAGCGATGAAATAATGGCCGCCGTACAAATCTTTTGCTGTGGACGAAGGTGCATTCCAGAAATCGAACAAGCGGAACGGAACAGCAATAGAGCAGAGATAGAGCCAATCAGAATGATTAAGAATGGTTGCGTTCAGAAAACATAGCTGATCAGTGAGCGGTCAGTGATTATTGGTCCTTACTGTTAGATCCCTAACTTTAGACCAATTACGTTGACTAATTACTCAACCGTTGTGTAATCGTTGTGTCTCCTGAACGCAACCAATAATTGAGAATTATTTTGATTGGCAGAGAAGTAACTTGTTCCAGTTCCATTTCATAGAAGAAGGAGAAGAAAAATAAGTATGCATGCGCAGGAGCTTGAGCGCTCAGTGCAGTGATGCAAGTATATATTAATTATAAAATAATTTAAGTTCTTTTACAACACAAATATACGGGAGCGGTGCACTTGGACACGGTGCATTTGGACACAGCCAATCACAGCACCGTGTGATTAGAGACATTTGTAGGGTCCCTTGGAACAGCGACTTGTGATTGGACTGTGTCCAATTGCCCCGTGTCCAACTGATATACACCCCAAATATATAATATTATACATATAATATTTGACAAAAAATAATGTTTATTGCAAAATAAAAGCAATTTAAACAATTAATTTTGCCTTCCTTGTTACTTCATTATTTTATTTTACCCATTACAATAAAATTTTTGAAGGAGCAATGCTACTTACACGATATCGTAAAGCATTCATATTCAAAAGCTCTTTAAGTACTCATTTCCATGACCTCGTTATGTGCTCATTTCCATGACCTATTTATGTTTTCACAAAACGACGCATTGGTCAACATTATATCATTATGACTTCTTCCAGAGACGTTTTTCTGAACTCATACTCTCAAATGTGAGTTTTTTAAGAGCTGTTTTTATTAATATTTTGCTTACTGGGTAGGGACTTTTTTCAAAAAATTTTGATTTATTCTCCAGCAAAGCTAATACTTTTAAATGTTGTTATTTCATTTGTTTCAGATTATTACACGTGCTGTAATGTTGTTCGCCAGTTACAGACGTCTATGAACACCACGCACAAAAAATCAGACCACGCACGAAATTTCAATTTTTCTTTTAATAAAAAAATAATTTTTTTATATTTGAAACAATAATAAGTAATATGTTGAAAACTCTGTAACGATATTTTTATCCATTTTTTAAATAAATTTCGTAAAAACCCATTTTCCGACTACATTAACCAAAACTTCTGCGTAATCTTCATATCATTAAGCGTCGTCTATAATGAGAATTTAAGCCATAACATTTAAACTTTCAGCCCTAAGTCGTAAGAAATTGGCCAATCACACTCGATTATTTTTCTTATAATTGAAATCGCGACATCTATAGGATATCCATGAGATGTATTTTGGATATTTATTCTATACGGGTATCCCATTTAATAGCGTATATTTGGCACTTCATAACATTAAATAGCCTACGAAACGACAGGATCTGCGCGCAATCTGCCGCCAATCTGCCGTTAGAGTCTGTCTGCAGGCTCTGCGCGCAATCTGCCGTCAGTCTGTCGTCAGAGTCTGTCGACAGACTCTGCGCGCAGTCTATCACCAATCTGCCGTTAGAGACTGATAAAACAGATTCTGTGTGCAGTCTGTAGTCATTCTGCCAACAGACACTGTTGACAGACTCTGCGCAAAATCTGCTCACGCAGGTTTGGCTATCTGGG